TCTCTTCTTAAAAATCACTTTCTCATCCACAACCAAATAAATACTGAATAATTGTATCTCATAAATGTTTAACCTGTGACCCAATCAAACTTTGTTATTTTTAATTACATTATCAAACAGAATACTTCCTTCTACTGAATGCTCAGCAACACAGTAAATGACCTTATGACCTGTCTTCGAAATACTTATTTGTGCTTAAATGTTAACTGTTACACTTAACATGTTACACTTAACCACTGTATTTCCTTGTACTTCTATGTATCATGTTCAAATTAATAAGTATATATATAAATAAATAAATACCTGCACGGGCTCAGCCCACTCCCTCGTCCCTGCCAACCAAACCCTACCCTACACTATTTTTTGACGTGGTTTATAGGAAAGAGAAACGGAGGAAGGAAGACTGAAATGCTGACAAAGACAGATGAGAGACAAGGAAGCATCAAGCAAAAAAATAAATAAAAAAAAAAAAGTCGAGAGGTACCCTTTTCCGGAAGAAGAGAAGAAGACAAGGATTATCCCCGAAATAACACACAGCCTCGTAGCTCATTATGTCCAGGAACGAAACAAAATAAAACACTTGTAGGGAATTAAACAGAGATCTGATAACTTATCTTAAGTATCTCCGTCTCAGCAGCTGGATATCGATGAAGATGAATACTGTCTCTCACATTCAGGGTCTTCGTATTCCTCATGCAAAATCTCCCACAAGTGGTTGCTGTATAATTACATGATATAAAAATATACTGAGGTGAGAGTATAAGGATATAAAGACGAAAGCATAATATGTAAACTACTACACAACTCTTTCTTTACAAAGAAACACCATTTTAAAAGGACAATTAATTTTTTCTTCTCTGTGACCCCCAAATATTCACTATTACCCATCATTTCCAGCATTCCCTGGTTGGTACCATTTAGTTTGATGAATTAAGTAATTTAGAGAAAGACTCTTGGTGAGTCAGGCAGTGAGATGTGAGGTAGAGGAGACGCTGTATCCTCCATGGTCTCCTAGTTGCTTGTACTCTGTTGCTTTATTTTCCAGGTCGTCTTCCAGCACCATGCAAGCACTATTAGTTCCTTCATAATAATGTGTGTGTGTTTTTTTAAATTATGCGTAACTTAAATCCAGTTATGTCGGACTAGTCACTGAACAGAACACCAGACACGGCGGGTTTTATCATATTTGTAGGGTAATAAAATGGATCATCCTATTTACTTCGCTTTTAACCCTACATAGACAAGCTGGGAATTTTATCTTCCTTACAGGCCGTCTCAGAGACCAGTGATAAATCAATGTTACTCTGACTTCATTTATGTAAAAACCAATATTGAAGTTTATAAAGGAGTATTGGAAAATCTTCACACCACAGTTATTACTGAAGCAAAATTCTAAGAAATTAGACAAAATTGTGAACCACTGAAGTTGTTATAGAAGAACTGATGATCATAAACCACTGAACATTTGATGAACTAGCAAATCTGAACATGGGATTTCAACGACTATATACCATGTAATCTTGTATAAGTAACAAAATAGACAAAAATAATCATGTTGCTGATACATAATCCACTATAAAAAAAGGTGGACAAATAGGATGTAAACAAAAACAAGGCACCAAAAAGGAAGAGAAAATAATAGCTAGGCAAAACTAAGGAAGAGAAAATAATAGCTAGGCAAAACTAAGGAAGAGAAAATAATAGCTAGGCAAAACTAAGGAAGAGAAAATAATAGCTAGGCTAAACTAAGGAAGAGAAAATAATAGCTAGGCTAAACTAAGGAAGAGAAAATAATAGCTAGGCAAAACTAAGGAAGAGAAAATAATAGCTAGGCTAAACTAAGGAAGAGAAAATAATAGCTAGGACTTTGCATTTGTCCACACTGAAATGCATCTGCCACTTTTCAGACCATGACATGAGCTGGTCTAAACCCTCCTGAAGTACGGTGGCATCTTCCTCTGAATTAATAATCCTACCTATTTTTGTATCGTCAGCGAATTTGCGCATATCACCTGTTATTCCCTCGTCAAGTTCATTAATGTATATTATGAGTAACAATGGGCCCAAAACTAATCCCTGTGGAACGCCACTCGTGACTGATCCTCATTCAGAGTTCACCCCATTTATGCAGACTCTCTGCTTCCTGTTGGTGAGCCATGACAGCGCTTTTCCCTCAATACCATGAGCTGCCACTTTCTTTAACAGTCTCTCGTACGGTGCTCTATCAGAAGCTTTACTAAAATCTGAATAAATAATTAAAAAAATTCTTTACCATGATCAACAGCCTCATAAGCTTTACCGAAGAAAGTTAGTAAATTAATCAGGCAGGAACGGCCCCTCATAAATCCATGCTGAGTATCATTATTCAAATTATGCTTATCAATAAGGCTTCTTATAATATCAGCTATAATTGACTCTAGTAATTTGATTACAACTGAGGTCAAGCTTATTGTGCGGTAATTTGACGGTAACGACTTATCCCCTGATTTAAAAACAGGAATTACATTAGCCATCTTCCACATATCAGACACTACACCTGTTTGAAGAGATATATTAAAAATGTTAGTTAATGGTTCACAAAGTTCGATTTTGCACTCCTTAAGAACCCTTGAAAAAAGTTCACCAGGGCCCGGGATTTATTTTCCTTCAGTCGATCTACTTGTTTAATTACCAAAACTAAGGAAGAGAAAATAATAGCTAGGCTAAACTATTGATACAAAAGACTGTTGACCATAAAAATGTTGGTTGAGAGAACCTAAACTCTCACTGTTGACATAAATACGAAGAGCAAAAATGTGGTAGAAATATGCAAAAAAAAATTGAATTATCTGTTCCATTAAAGTCGTGTTTTTCCTTGAATGATGTAAAGTAAATTTGGTTCAGTTCCGGTCTTTGATATTATAGTATTTACAAGCTGACATTCATTTTCTTTTCTTACTTTTGTCCTTACTTTTGCTTATTTATTTATAGCTCTCCTACTTATTTCCAGCTTTTCTGCATTTTGATTTGTTGTATTTTTTCTTCATGTCCTACTAGCAATTACTTACATTCTTGTTTAATTAAACCAAGGGATTATTGTTTTTTTTTTTCTTATATTTTAATGCTCTTTTAAAGCTTTGCAATTTACACTATTTCGTCTCTTCTTCTAGTACAGCGTCGCCTTCCATTTCCCTCTACAACTACGTTTCTCTCAGAAAGTGTCTGACGCCTCTACGTTTCTCTCAGAAAGTGTCTGACGCCTCTACGTTTCTCTCGGAAAGTGTCTGACGCCTCTACGTTTCTCTCAGAAAGTGTCTGACGCCTCTACGTTTCTCTCAGAAAGTGTCTGACGCCTCTACGTTTCTCTCGGAAAGTGTCTGACGCCTCTACGTTTCTCTCAGAAAGTGTCTGACGCCTCTACGTTTCTCTCGGAAAGTGTCTGACGCCTCTACGTTTCTCTCAGAAAGTGTCTGACGCCACTACGTTTCTCTCAGAAAGTGTCTGACGCCTCTACGTTTCTCTCAGAAAGTGTCTGACGCCTCTACGTTTCTCTCGGAAAGTGTCTGACGCCTCTACGTTTCTCTCAGAAAGTGTCTGACGCCTCTACGTTTCTCTCAGAAAGTGTCTGACGCCTCTACAGTCCACTTTTGTGTAATCTCGTTTCCTGTTAATCACTTTCTTGATTCACATTTACATCAAGAACTGAGAAGTTAGGATCACATAATTACTAACACTGAAGTAACTTCAGTTGAGTTATATTTATTTTGAGTGAAAACCAAGTGAGGTCTTGTAACTCATTCCTACCTCTCACTCTCGTTCCTTCCTTCACATATTGTCCCACATAACTGTTTATTAATGATTCCTTTTGTTAACTCTCCATGTTGGTTTTTTCTGTTTGCTTTGCCACTGTTTCCTATAGGAGAAACATTGTCCTCTTATTTTGATCATACTCCCTTTTCGGGCTTCTGTTGTTTGGTGGTTAATTACCAGTTATTTACCAGTTAATTACCAGTTATTTACCAGTTAATTACCAGTTATTTACCAGTTAATTACCAGTTATTTTCATCGAACATAACATTATACCTAAATAACCCTTGAAATTCCAAGTTTCTAAAGGTTTAGAGTTTCTAAGATTTGTTTCTGAATATTATTGATACTCTTCCGCCTCTTTTGTTTTATCTTACCTTTCTTATTATTTGTTAGCCCTTAGGGAATACTAATCTTTTTTTATTCCGAAGACTTTCATTTTTGTAATATCTGACAGAAGTTGTTGGTTAATGTTGCAGGTTGGGATGGTTAGAGGTTCTTTCAGATAGTGGGAGGTGTTTACAATGACAGAGTATGTTATTAGAGGCTAGGAGAGCCTAGTAGCTGTATGGAACTGATATGAGGTACTGGGATAGGAAAGTATAGATTAGTTTACCACTTTCCAACATACTTAAGGACGTCGTTGTCTCTGTAACGGCTGAATCCCGCTTAATATTAAACTGGTGTTGTATTCTTTACACATTAATTTAAACATAAGTTAACTTAAAAGAATGTGTATGATAGAATGATAAGCATGATGATGTTGCGAGTTCTTTAATGTATACGACCCTTGAACCTCGTCTCCTTCTTTCACCAGGTTCAACTTCCCCTCTTACATAATGTCTTGAACTTCTCAAATATTACTGTAGAACCTTTATTAATTTATCATCCCAAATCTTTTTCATAACTTGCCTCATTTCCCATAAAGTGATAAATACCTTTCTTTTTATTTGTTTTGCAAAGGTCCTGTAAATAAATCTCTGTTAGCTAGTATATTCTAGACTTAGGAATTTTTTTAATCTGTTATATAATTTAAGAAAAATTTAATTTAAAAATGAAGCTGAAACAAATATTTTAATTATTAATATAAAAAACTAACCCGTTTTCAACAAATCACTTTCTCTGATTTAGTTTGTAAAAAAAAAAATCGTTTTAACCCAACTAAAGTTTGTACGGCACATCTTTCTGATTTAGTGTTCTCGCCCTCTTCGCAGGACGATGAATCTAAGAGTTCTTCGAAAGCGAACGAACTGGGTCTGAACAACGTAGGTGGCGTCTTCGTGGTGCTCCTCGCTGGTATGGGTCTCGCCTCTGTCGTTGCTGTCTGCGAGTTTGTGTGGAAATCAAGAAAACTGGCTACTGAGGAACACGTGAGTGCCTCTGCCTTCATGAGTGCATTCTGACCATCCCAATAGAATAGACAAAAGTCTTTCACGAGGATTTATTTATTACGAAAAACTTGCAACAATAAAAAAAAACTTTTTCTCAATTCTTATTTAGTCATTGAACTATAACGAGGTAAAAGTAAATTATTAGGATGTAAACTATTTCCAAAGTGTTACTAGGATAACCTGTGGCACGAGGAGTTATTTAAAGTAAGGAAGTGACCAACTTGTGCAGAAGTTGCTTCAGTAATAAGTGATGGGGATAGGGATGCTGGGGATTACATCACAATTGGTACAGTAGGATACAATCTGTTAAAAATACATATATAGAGTCAGCATCAATGGAAGCTCTAGGCGAGGAGGGCAATAATTTAGGTTATTTAAGACAAATATAAGCAAAATAAACTAGGAAATCCAACAATATAAGTTCTCTCCATATTCCACTCTTACCCCCTATTATTACATCACACTAATACAGTAGCAGAGGTAAGTGTGGCTTACATAGAAGGTAAATTTATATATGACGGATATGGTGCAATGTTTTCCTCATATCAGTTTAAAAGATTCCTGGAGAAAACGAAATCAGGTCACTGGTACGTCTGGAAGACGGTACGGGAAACAACCAGAGAGATACTTAAATCCGACCAAGAGACATGGAGGGAAATGAAATAGGGACGAGGTGAGGTAGAGGTCACTTATTATTCATGAGCTCTACGAGGCAGAAGGGAAGACCTATGATGAAAGAAGAAAAGGGGAGGCAAAAAGAGATTGAGATCATCTTCATAACAGGAAAGGACATGACCGAACTGACAAATTTTCAGACCTATGTGGTGGTGGAGGGAAAAGAACCACCCAATCAAATTGACAGTCAAGACAGAAATAGTATGAAATAAGATCCTGAAACAGAAACCGTGGTTAAAAGGTTCCCCAAAACACCAACACGTGTACCTTGATGGTGAGAGAACACAAATAGTAAGAGAACAACTGAGAAAAAGAGTTAGAAGGCTCCAGAGGCAGGAAGGGGAAACAGTACAAATAGGTACTGACAGACAAGAGTGCAGCCTCGGGAGTAACAAGAAGCACAGCCACCATCAGAAGCATCTGCAGCACTCCCTCAACCCCTACCACCCCACATCAACTAAGCACAACCAAAACCAAATCACACTCCACATCCGCAGTCCCCCCCCCCCAACAGCATGAAAACCACCACAACAGCAGCCTACCATAATATCCAGACCTGCCTACCACACCATCAGCCTGCACCAACCCCTCCCTCTCCCAGAATACATCTCTAGAAAGGAATCCAAAGGTATGGTACACCAAAGCAGATGGAATAACAAAGAAGACTGAGGAGTGGCAAGAAAGAATCTCTGGATATCATAGCACTCACAGAGACAAAGCTATCAGGGGTGATAATAGGTGCAATCTTCCTGTCTGGATATCAGATCCTGAGAAAAGACAGGAAGAACTGAGAGAGAGGAAGAGGAGTTGCACTGTTCATCACAACCAAAGAAGTTTTGAGGAGATAGGAGGACTAGTCAGAGGTTTAATGGATGATTACATAATACCAACTATTCTAACCGGGGGTCCGAAAGTAATGATAGCAGTTGGCTGTACGAAAAGCCAATGAACAACAGGAGACAAAATCAGGAATATGATGAGAGCAAGGGAGCGCTGGTGGACACACTAAAGGAGGTGGCCAGAAGGGTCCCAATGAACAAGGTAAAGTTACTCATTTCGGGGGATTTCAACCATAAGGAGAATGACTGGGAAAATGTGAAGCCACATGGGGGACCAGAGACATGGAGAGCCAAGATGCTGGAGACGATACTTGAAAACTTCATGTACTAACATGTTAGGGACACTACCAGAGAGAGAGAGAGAGAGAGAGAGAGAGAGACAGACAGACAGACAGACAGAGACAGGGAGACAGACTCAGAGAAAGAGAGAGAGGGGGGAACGACGAACAAGCAAGGATGGGCCCCCTACTCATCTTGAACAGTTCATACATAGGGGATGGCATACAAGAGAGGTCCCTAGTCCTAAGTTGTGAATACATAGCAGAGTTAACAATGGAGAGTGAAGCAGTATAAGAAGGATGGGAAAAGACAAACTTTTAAAAAATGACACAACGGGAAGACCAAAGTGAGCCCATAGATTACCCAGAGGTGTTGAGAGGCCGAAGCCAAGTGTATTAGTGTATGAAAAAAGTATAGAATGCAAAGAACTCAAGTAAACAGGGAGTTGAGCCGAAGCGCCAGAAATGAATATGCATGGATGAGCAGAGAGACCCAGCTTCAATACGAGAATGACAAAGCATCAAAAGCCAAATCTGACCCAAAGTTGTTATGCAGCAACATGTGGAGGAAGACAACACTCGAGGACCACGTAATTAGGCTGAGGAAGTAAGGAAGGTGGTGAACTCCAAGGGAATAACCACGAAGTAGATAAATTAGACACATATGCAACACTTGGGTATCAATAAAGATACCCAAGTGCTGCACATGTGTCTAATTTATCAATTTGTCGGTTCTCTGAACCATTCATCTACAGACCACGAAGTAAGTGAAGAGTTCAGCTCACGATTCAGAGAGGTATTCACAGTGGAGACAGAGAGGCTTGCAACACATCGAGATGGTAGAGTGCACCAACAAGTACTGGACACATTGCACATAACTGAGGAAGAGGAAAAGAAACTGGTAGGGAAACTAGATACCTCGAAGGTGGTGAGCCCAGATAATGTTTCTCCTTTTGTTCTGAGAAAGGGCCCAGATGCACTGTGTGTGCTCCAACAACAGTCTATGGAAACACGGCAAATACCTGAGTTGTTGAAGACAGCAAAAATAGTCCCGATTTTTAAGAAGACAGACAGGCAGCACTAAATTACTGACCAGTGAAGGGGTTTACACTGTACCTTGCGGAGGCTGTGACAGAAAACACGTAGATAAAAAGGGAAGAAACTTCAAAACACGTCTCAATGAACACATTAATGCACGTGAGAAAGATAATTTGAACAACACCTGCGTACAACACCGGAATTCTGCCAACCGCCTCATGAAATACAACGACGTCCGTCTAGATGACAGCCAAGAAACGAGCGAGATACTAGAGACAAAATACGACTCAGTGTTCAGCGAACCGCTGCCCAGACTGAGAATCGACAATCCAAATGAGATCTTTATGAACGAGACCCAAAATCTGGTCATCTCAAAAATCTCGGACATTATCCTAACACTACAAGACTTTGAAAAGGCAATAATTGTCATGCCCATGCACTCTGCCTCATGCCCAAACTCATGGAACTCTGTGTTCATCAAGAACTGCAAGAAGCCCCTGTCATGGAGAGGGAGTATGGACACTGGGGTCATCCTGCACTCACTACAGACAACAGACATAGCTCCACTCCACAAAGGTGGCAGTAAAGCAATTGCAAAGAACTATAGACCGATAGCACTAACATCCCATATCATAAAAATCTTTATGAACATAAGAAAGAAGGAACACTGCAACAGGCCTACTGGCCTATGCGAGGCAGCTCCAATTCTCGTACCGGCTTAAGCCAATGCCTTGACCTAGTGAGGTCAGACACGTCACTTAAGGGAGGAGCACTGCATCCGACCTAGTAGCACAAGCTAGTCAGGTCCAACTCACACCCTCCCACACCCACTCATGTATTTATCTAACCTATTTTCAAAATTACACAACACTCGGGAGTTTGTTCCACTCATCCACAACTCTATTGCCAAATCAGTGCTTTCCTATATCCTTCCTGAATCTGAATTTTTCCAATTTAAGGCCATTGCTGCGAGTCCTGTCTATGTTAGATATTTTTAGCACGCCATTTGCATTCCCTTTATTAATTCCTGTTTTCAATTTATTCACCTCAATCATATCCCCCCTAATTCTACGCATTTCTAGAGAGTGCAGGTTCAGGGCTTTCAGTCTATCCTCATAGGGAAGATTTCTGATACATGGGATCAACTTTGTCATCCTCCTTTGTACGTTTTCCAGTGCATTTATATCCATTCTGTAATACGGTGACCAAAACTGCGCAGCATAATCTAAATGAGGCCTAACCAAGGATACATAGAGTTGAAGAACAACCTGAGGACTCCTATTATTTATATTTCTTGATATGAAGCCAAGGATTCTGTTACCTTTATTGCGAACACTAATGCACTATTGTCTCATTAGAATGAATTGGACGGCCTATTTTGGTGTCATCGGCAAATTTGCTTATGTCGCTATTTTTTCCCTCATCTATGTCTTTTATGTAGATTGGGAACAACAAGGGGCCCAACACTGACCCCTGTGGAACACCGCTTGTGACGTGCCCCCATTCCGATTTCTCCCCATTTATGCAAACTCTCTGCTGCCTATTTGTCAACCATGCCGCAACCCAGGAAAAAAATTCTCCTATTCCGTGTGCCTTAAGTTTCCTCAGTAGCCTCTGATGTGGAACTCTATCGAAAGCCTTACTGAAGTCCATATACACAATGTCATATTCTACCTCCTCAAATACCTTAGTGAAGAAAGTTAATAAATTCGTAAGACAGGAACACCCCTTTGTAAAACCATGCTGTGATTCATTAATCAATTTATGCCTTTCGAGATGGGTAGGAATGGCTTCGGCACTTATTGATTCCATAAATTTTCTCACTATGGAGGTAAGGCTGTAGTTCGAAGCCAAGGACCTGTCACCTGCCTTGTAAATAGTTATTACATCAGCCCTTTTCCACTTGTCAGGCACTATGCCAGTTTGTAGTGATATGTTGAAAAGATTAACCAAAGGTATGCTAAGTTTTTCTTTACATTCCTTTAACACCCTTGCAAACAGTTCATCAGGACCTGGGGATTTGTTAGCATTTAATTTCTCTATTTGTCTGAGGACCATGTCACTAGTTACCACAATCGCGCATAGTTTATTATCGTCCTGTTCTACATAATCTATTTTTTTCTGGAATTTCGCTATTGTCTTCCGGAATAAAAACTGAGAGGAAGTAAGAATTGAAAATTTCACACATATCCTCATCACTGTCAGTGATCTGACCAGAGTTACTCTTAAGTGGGCTTATCTTGTCAATAATCTTACTTCTATATACCTGAAAGAACACTTTTGGGTTAGTCTTCGAATCCCTTGTGACCTTAGCCTCGTAATCCTTTTTTGCTTTTCTTATTCCTTTTTATATTTCTCTTTAATTGAATATATTGATATCTTAACTGCCCATCGCCTCTGTTGATATGCTTGTTTATGTCTCTCTTTTGGATCATTTTTGTTAGATCTAATTTCCCTACTCAGAACAAAAGTTGTCTGGGCAGCTAGAACTATGCTCTGAAAAACGTCATATTGGAAACCAAGATCACCTACCTGACCCATAGTCATGACATCCCAATTTAGCCCACCCAGGTAATTTTTCAGTCCCATAAAATCAGCCAAACGAAAGTCTGGGACAGAGATTTAATTGCAGTTATTCAGGTACCTCCATGGTATATTGGAACTAAGTGATTTGTGATCACTTTCCCCAAGCTCATCATTAACTTCAAGATTATTAATTAGTGATTCTTTGTTGGCAAGAACCAAGTCAAGCAGATTGTTTCCTCTAGTTGGTTCTGTCACAAACTGTTTTAAAAAGCAATCCTGAACCGTATCAAGAAAGTCACTAGACTCAAGATTTCCTGTCATATTGTTCCAATCAATTTGTCTAAAGTTAAAATCTCCCATTAACACAACATTTCATATCTTGATACCTTATGAATTTCGTCCCATATCAGCTTACTGCACTCTCTATCAAGGTTTGGGGGCCTATAAATCACACCCAAAATTAACTTTCCACGACCCTCGAGAAACTGTAGCAAAACAGATTCTTCTAATCTTATATCTAATCTTATATCTTGTCGAACACAACAATTTAAATTATCTCTGACATACATCGCCACTCCACCACCCTTCCTGTTGACCCTATCAGTATGGAACAGTTTATAACCCTGTATGTTGCATTCAGAGGGCATTTCTCTATCTTTCAAGTTGAACCAGGTCTCTGTTATAGCAATAATATCTATATTACTTGCGCTTTCAAGTAATCTTAGCTCATCTATCTTATTTCTTAGACTTCTACTATTTGAATAGTAAACCTTAAGGAGAGTAAAATAGTGGAGGCAGAAGTCATACATAGCTTTAAGATGGGGTACGATAAGGTTCTTCTAGCAGGGAGAGAGCGGACCTAGTTGCGAAGAGGCAGGACCAAGAGCTATGAATCGACCCCTGCAACCACAAAGAGGTGTGTACAAAAAGGTGAGTTCCCACACACACACATCATCCTGCGGTACCTTCCAGTCTGAGCACCACTTGATCTGACCCATCGTACATATACTCAGTTGTCTTTTTTCTGTATTAGATTGAAAAATCAACTGTTAGGCGAAATATCTCTTTCTTAAATGTGCTAATTATTGATTAATACTTGTCAGTATTAATCACCATTGTTACCTCTGAGAGAGAGAGAGAGAGAGAGAGAGAGAGAGAGAGAGAGAGAGAGAAGAGAGAGAGAGAGAGAGAGAGATTTTTTCTATAAATACATAGAAATATTACACAATCATCCAACAAATCATTACTAAAAAAAATTAATTTATTCTCCTTTGGTGTCAAGCCTTAAGACTATTGGAGGGCCATTAAAGTAACCAGTCAAGAATACTTTCAACCCTAATTTACCAATTAAAGAAAGATTTCAGTGTTTGTAGACAGAGACACTACACCTCTTTGTGCAAATATCACATATATAATTAACATAAAGTCCTTAACTTACAGAACTGAGATTACAGCCATAAAACAGTAACTCATCTACTAATCATGGCAAGTCATCTGCGATTCATCTCTTCGATTATAATACTATTTGTGTCAGCACACGATTTCGTTCATTACTAAACACTGTTTGCTACTTCGTAGATTTACTATATGTTGTACTCGGCCTTAATTCGTCTCAACTTCCGTGTGGCCAACCGTACCACAATTCCCTCAGTAACTGGTCCCATCTGAATAAATGAGTAAGTTAATTAATTTAATTAAAGCATATCACTCTGACAAGTATCAACACTTGCACTAAATATTACGAGAATGCAGGTCAGGAGACACAGTCGTCAGACACACACACACACACACACACACACTCACCAAGTCCAGGTTGTGTCTAATGTGAGAGAGAATGTCTCCTCAGGCAGGCAGCTTCTTACCTTTTAGCAACTTAAGTGAAGGCTGGACCACTTAGAATTCAGGAATACTTTGCGTAGCACTCTTGGACACAAACAAACTCAACAAACAATCGCAGTCGTTTGCTTAAGTAATGCTTTAAGTCTACCATTATATAAATATTAGAATTATAATAAAAATAAAAATATGAAATTTGAATGACCATCAGGTATATATGGGTAAGTATCTTAATTAACCCCCAGAAAGTAGGAAAATACTGAGTTTTCAGTTTTCTTTGACACTTTCGGGTTGAGAAAAATAGTAGAAATTTAGTGTTACATTCATTGTATTAAGTAAGCTTATAGAATGATGAATCAAATTTTCTCATATTGATCACATTGATGGTCAGACTCATTATAATCACATGTCGTGTTCAGCACTGCCGTGAACAGAACGTGAACAATCCCTTGTAGAACTATAGCTGTCAGTCTGACAGCTTTTGATGGAGGAAGGAACAGAAAAGTTAATAAGAAGTAATACTCAGTTACTGGGATATAACTCAGGTATTTCTCTCTTCTGTTGCTGCATCTCACTCGTACTCCAACTTATAGTTGTATCTACAGTGACAAATCTATGTTATATCTTTACCTCGCAGTGACGCTCCTGCACTACAGTCGAACACAGTAACTTATTCTCCTCTGGCTGTACATAAAGTTTCACCTTCAGGTGAGTCTATTAGGAAGATCTTACAGTGACTGTTCTACTGCTGCACAAAACAGTGATTCTTGTGTGCAGTTGCTGTACCTCTCAGTGAAACCTAAGTGCAATTCCTGCACCTCTCAGTGACACCTAAGTGCAATTCCTGCACCTCTCAGTGAAACCTAAGTGCAATTCCTGCACCTCTCAGTGACACCTAAGTGCAATTCCTGCACCTCTCAGTGAAACCTAAGTGCAATTCCTGCACCTCTCAGTGACACCTAAGTGCAATTCCTGCACCTCTCAGTGACACCTAAGTGCAATTCCTGCACCTCTCAGTGAAACCTAAGTGCAATTCCTGCACCTCTCAGTGACACCTAAGTGCAATTCCTGCACCTCTCAGTGAAACCTAAGTGCAATTCCTGCACCTCTCAGTGTCACCTAACTATATGCATTTCTTACACCTGTAAGTGATTACTATTTCATTCGGTCGCACCTCACAGTCACTCCAAATTCCTATGGCTACGCCTCATAGAAGTAAATTTTAAAGCCTACATCCACAGTATAGTCTTATACCAATGATCATTTCTTTCAGGCTGATGATAAATTAACTATAGCATCAAAAACGTTAATGCGCATTTATAAATCGCCTAAAACTAATCCCTAAGTTCGGAAAAACTACAAAAACTGAATATTTCGATCCTACTTTACAATGCTCTTAGAGGACAAACTGAGTTAAATCTCCGGACGTAACATTATATGTATTTACTGCCACCAGTTTTTGAAAGCTTATCTCTTGTTCATATTAAGAAGTTGTCACAGTGCAGCTCGCACTATTACAGAAATGAAATTATAGATGTTCCTAATGTTATTTTAAAGAAATATCTTTATGAATTAACATAAAATTTTAGTTAAAACCTAATACGCAATGACGAACCTAAGCAAGTGTTGTGACTTTTTTATTTTGTTAATATCAAAAGCACATTAATGAAATGCAAGTGCTCGAGTTTTATTGTAATAATTTTTAGCCTATAACAAAAGTCCGGCTGAAGCACACTTGACCTAACAACTTTCTAGAAAGTAAAAAAAAAGAATAACTTTGCATTATGTCCGTAGTCCTCCTCCTGGATATTCCGACAATACAAACATCCAACAAACACTTACCAATTTACTTTCCCCAGGCTTCAGTTTGGACAGAAATGAGCAAGGAACTCAAGTTCGCCTTCTCCTGTGACGGATCTTCCAAGTCAGTGAGAAAGAAACCACCTGACCAAGAGAACGGACCTTCCTTCTTCACTATGAACACTTTCACTACCTCACAGTATCCACTCCCATCCAAGGATCCTGTCTCATGACAGCAGCCGGTAGGTCACACTTCTCGCTGAGTACCGGAGGCTCGCTAGCTGACTTGACTTGTTAAATCTCTCTCATTACCTTGCATGCCGAGGTTACCTGATTCTACCTGTTAAAAATCACTTATTAGTTTAACTTCTGCTGTGGCTACGGAGGTTGAAGACATCCACAATACAACTGCATCACAAGTTCCCTGGCCATCTCATCCACCCAGATTACACCCGCTAAGTCGCTACAAAATAAATACTTCTGACTTCATCCCACGTTACCTGATGTTACTTAGAAAGTCGCCTTACTCCTCACCCGTTAATTAAGTAGCTTTTTTTTCCTGTATTACTTTGAGAATCACAACTTTATTTAGATTCCCTGAGTAATTGACGGTCTTCTGTGTAGTTAATTAGTTCTACTTGCTACTCCAATGAAGTTACCTTTTGTAAGATATTAATCTCTAAAACACTGTGGCATAATTTTCTGGAAATGAGAAATCACCTTCGTGTGTGACCTCGTAACTGGAAGTTATTTAATTATTTTAAGAAACGTAGTCTGAGTCTAACTAAACTTGTTAACTTCTGCCTCTCTCAAGTTGCTAGATGATCACTGACTGCTTAGAGAGTTTCTTGTACACAATGTGGGATTACCCAGAAATTTATAGTGTATATTATTTTTTTAATAGTTATAATTTCATGTGATGCTTACAATTATATTCGTAATACTTATTCTTTTTCTTCGTCCTCTACTCAGATTATTCTCCACAGTTTCCTTATATTTCAAATTATCATCACCATAATTATCATGTTTTGTCTGCACAGGTACCATCAAGTCAAGACCTGTCAGAAAAACCAGAGCAAGTGGAAAGTAACACTGAACAAGTAACAGTCCGCATCAAATCTGGAGACGAACCTGCACAGCAATGTACCCGGCCAGCAGCTACTCAGTGTTACCCTGTGGTTGCTACTCAGTGTTACCCGCCGGCTACCATTCAGTGTTACCCACCGGTTGCTACTCAGTGTTACCCACAATCCACTACTCCGGTATCAACACACGAAATGAAAGAGAAGGGTGTACTCGAGTCTCCAGATTTGTCTTTCCAGTTGATATCCAGAGTATGACACTAGGACAGCCTAGGATTGTCGTCAGTCCCATTGATACTCTTCCATCTCTCACATTGCCAGCGCTGTACCTTAAACCAACTAAAAGACAGTGTCTCAGTAATCTTGCATCTGAGGTGACTACTGTTACTAATGTTGAACTTTCTGACTACTAAAACAAACATTTTGGTGCAAACTCTAGGGTAAGATCTTTTTTATGAAAAAAATCTTTGTATATGCTTCAAACACTGAAGAATTTTTTATATAAAAATGTGTAAATATTATACGTTTGTAATATTTATGCATGTCTAAATGAAGAGGAGATTAATAACCATACTTTTAAACTTTAAAATAAGGTATGCAATCCTGTAAATTTGCAAACAAAGGAATAAACACATCAGAGAAGAGATATCAGAAGGGGTGGAGTAACTAGTAGGATTCCCCAGAAATCTGTGTTGGGTCCAATATTGTTCTGGTATCTGTGAAAGTCATTCCTCAAGGGCTTTTGTCGTATATTAGTGTTTGGTGGTGATGTAAAACTGATTAGAATAAAGACTGATGAAGACAGAGAAATGCAACAAATGTATCTGGAAAAGCTTTAGGATTGATCAGAAGTGGCTGCTTGAACTCAATCCCAACAAATGCAATGTTGAGAAAGGTGGGAAAAACTGAGCAAGGCTGAAAACGGAGAATTGACTTAGAAGATAAAGACTTCAGATCTGACTTGCAGAGAAAGATCTAGGCATACAATAAGCTACTAAATTTTTCCAGTCAGTGCTCGTCTAGCGAATTTAAGAAAAGCCTTGGAATCTGCTGCACCAGAATGGAACCAAGAAAGATATAATATGTTAAAAAAATAGAGACAGTGTGGAGGTTTGGAATGAGATTAAATCCACTGCTAGACAGTAAGAGCTATGAAAAGATGCTGATGGAATTGATTCTAACGACTGTGGAGGACTGAAGATCCAGGAAGACCTGAGAGCAACATACAAATTTAAGATGGTAGACAGAGAAAAACTATGAGAGTTGGGAAATCGGAACATGTGCAAACAGAAGTTCGAGATGAGTCTCAGGGATGTCAGGAGGTTTTCTGTCGGTCTCACTTAAGTCAGGAAGTGGTATAACTACAACGAAAAAAAAAGTGTAGGTAGGATCCATACATTGTTTTAAGAGTAGGTACGTCAGAGCTATTAATGTAAGGAAGGAGTGAATCTAGTAAGAAGAAAGTTGAAGGGCAGTGCAAGGAGGTAAGACTTCACACACACACCCACACACACAGCTTAACTAAAAAAAAATAAAGGTAGAATGTAAAGGCAAGGGAACCGAGGATGGCTGGTCTGAGAAAGGAGCATGGGCAAAAAGAATCAAAAGCACAGTGGAACAAGAGTGGGAAAAAAATTAAACAAGTTTTGCAATACAGTGGAAGAGAAGATATCTACAGAGAGCTGCTGAGGCAAAGATACAGAGCTTGGTGGCAGAACTGGAAGTGCTGAAGCAGAATATAGAGATAAGGACCAATTGGAGCAAGTTGCTGGGAACAGAAACATCAGTGGACAGCAACGGGCTGATAAAGGGAAAGAAGTAGTCAAATGCAGAAACTATATCAGGCCACCGGGACATTTGGGAGATGATAAGGAAAACAACTAAGAAGATGCTTATATTAGTTCTAGAAATATGGAGAGAATAGAAATGGGAAGAGGAGAGGGAGTGATCACTTATTATTCATGGGCTTTATGAGGCAGAAGGGAGGACCTATGGCAAAAGAAGACAGGGGATATAAAAGACATTAAAAGTATTATTGCAATAACAAGAGAGAAGGGCATGGCCCCTCAGATAAATTTTTAGAGACTTGGCAGGTATTCATTGGAAAAAAAAACATGCAGTCAAAGTGACATTCAAGACAGAAATGGCACGAAACAAGATTGATTCTGCAAAAGAAGCTATTGTTAAAGATCTCTTAAAAATAACAGCAAATGAACCTTGACTGTAACAGAACACAAAAAGAAAGAGAGCAACAGAGAGAACTAGTAAGATGATGCCAGTCGTAGGAAAGGGAGACAGGGCAGGCACTGACAGATAGCCGAGCACAGCCTAGGGGAATGGGGGGGGGGGAAGAATAAACACAGCCCTCAACAGAACCCACACACAAAATCCCCTCAACCCCTACCACCCCACACCAACCAAACACAAAAACAAGAAACAAGCCATGCTTCACGCCCAGAGTGCTCTTAACTCATCACTAATACCACCATCACAATAGTCTCCCATAATATCCCACCCTGTCTTCCACACCCACAGCCCACGCCAACTCCTTCCCTAGAATACAGTAATGGAAAGGAAGCCAATGGTATGGTATACCAAAGCAGATGGAATAACAAATAACATTAAGGAGTTGTACAGATGAATTATTGAGGCATCCTTGGACATCATATCACTCACGGAGACAAAGCTCAATAGGAAGATAACAGATGCAATCTTCCTGACTGCATATCAAATCATGAAGAAAAGTCAGGGAATGTTTTCCCTGACGCACTGCTCATCAAAAACCAATAAAGTTTTTGAGATGTGGTCAAGTGATAATGGCAGTGGCGTACAATCTGCCACTGAACAGCAAGGCACCAAGACAAGAGTTCGATGAGAACAACAGAGCGTTGTGGATACACTAGCAGAGACTGCCAGAAGGGCCCTTATGGGCCGGGCAAAGATACTCGTGTTACTTGTCATGGGGATTTCAATTCCAATGAGAATGACAGAGAAACTTGGAACCACATGGGGGACCAGAGACGTGGAAGGCTAACATGCTGGAGGTGAGTCTGGAAAACTTAGTGCACCATCATCTTATGGACACAAGGAGAGAGAGAGAAGAGGATGAACCAGCAAGACAGGACCTTGTATTCACCTTGAACAGTTCAGACAGAGCATATCACACAAGACAAATCCTTCGGTGCTCTGATCACGTGGTCCTGAGTGATGAATACATAACATAATTAAGAAAGGAGAGTGAAGCAACACCAGAAGGACGGGAGAAGACAAGCTTCAAAAAAGGGGACTACACAGACATGAGGCCAACTCCAAGTGTGCTAAACATGGAAAAATTATAGAAGGAAAGGACTCAGGAAAACAAGGAATGGAGTCGAAAACCCAGAAACAAATATACATGGATAAGGAGGGAGACCCAGCAGCAATATGAGAATGACAGAGCATCTAAAGCCAGTGTTATTATTTAGCCTCACCAGGAGGAAAGCAACAGGCAAGAATTAAGTAATAAGGCTGAGGAAGGAAATAAGGGAGCTTTCGAGAAGCGACCATTAGATCGCTCTTCGAGCAGCCAGCAATCCGAGGCAGTAGGTTACATCAGGAAGTGTTGGACACACCGCAGGCAACCGAGGAGGAGGCGAAGAAACTGTTAGGTGAACTAAATACCTCGAAGGTGGTGGACACAGAATACATCTCTCCTTGAGTCTTGAGAGAGAGAGCAGACACTCTGTATGTGCCGCTAACAACAATCTTCAGTACATGTATAGAAATAGGGCAACCGTCTGAGATGTGGAAGACAGCAAACGTAGTCTCAATGACTTAAGAAATCGTAATGACACGATTGCAAACAAACCATACCCCCGGCCGGGATTGAACCCGCGGTCATAGAGTCTCAAAACTCCAGCCCGTCGCGTTAGCCACTAGACCAGCTAGCCACAATAAGAAATATACCTAGTTGGATGAATCTTATTGTGGCTAGCTGGTCTAGTGGCTAACGCGACGGGCTGGAGTTTTGAGACTCTATGACCGCGGGTTCAATCCCGGCCGGGGGTATGGTAGTCTCAATTTTTAAGTAACGAGACAGACAGGTAGCATTAAACCACAGACCAGTGTCGCTGACATGTATAGTATGTAAAATCATGGAGAAGATTATCAGGA